CGGGTGCGGAGGGGCGTGTGGGGGGGGGGGGGGGGGGGGGGGGGGGGGTGGAGCAGTGCAGGCATGTGTGTGCCTCTGGGTCTGTATGTGAGATGTCCCAGCCGGGTGGGTCTGTGTGTATCTCTGGATGGTGTGTGTGTGTGTGTGTGTGTGTGTGTGTGTGTGTCCAGTGGGTGGTCTTAGGGAGCATGTATGAGCACACGTATGACAGGGCACACTTTTCGGTGTGTGTCTCATGATTGTGTGTGTGAGTCTGAGCAGACGTGTGTGCACACGGTATCGGAACAGTGTGTATGCGTGTGCCCGTGGGCCTGCGAGGGCCCCGTGCACAGCTCACCGTGCCTGGAGGGCACCCACCCAGCAACCTCAACCAGGGAACAGGATTCTCATCAAGCCAGGCTTGGGGTCAGGAGCCGGGTCGCGATGCCAGCACCACAGCTGGAGCGGTTACTTCCCCTTCTGAGTCTCGATTCTCTCTGTCACGCAGGGTGTGGCAGAATTCCCCTTCAGCACTGTGCTGCTGGGGGTGGAGGAGATATGGAACATCACAGCTGCCCTGCCCCCAGCCGGGAGAGATCAGGCGGTCAGCGTCTGCTGCCATGGGGAGGAAACTGTCGGGCCGGGCCTACTGGACGTGGCCCTCTCCATCAAAATCACAACAAGGAGTCTCAGGACACTTCCTTCACGCCTATTCAAGGGACATGGGCGCTGACATTACAGCGGACAGGGCACTGGACTCGAGGCAGACGGCTGTTGGGGGGCCCTGGACAAATGGCTTCTCTGGGCCCAGCTCCAGGTCTGTAACATGCGGTGCCGCCTCCTGCCTCATGAGGCTGCCCTGGCACAGGGAAAGCACGAGCACTTAGTACTTGCTCATGAAAGCCAGTCCCCTCCCCCAGGCCCCGGTCTCAAGCCGAGGTTCCAAGTTGAGTGCAACGTTGATGACACGACAGCCGTATGCTCAGAAGTAAGGCAGAGGGGTTGTTTGATGGAGCAGAGGCTCGAAGGGCATGACCCCTCTGGAGGGCATCTCTCTATGTCCAGGGAGGACAGAAGGCTCTGGTGATGCAGCCCCTGGACGCCCACCTCCAGCCACCCCATCTGTGCCCCTCTCACCTGCAGCGTGTCCCCAAAGGAGAGCTTGTGGATGACATGGGTCATGTCCGGGTTCTGTGGCTGGGCTGTGGCACTGTGTGTGGACACGTGGAAGTTGCCCGGGACCTGGGGGAGAGATGGAAAGTTTAGGAGTTGGGTCGGCGGCCCCAGAGGGTGGGGTGCAGGGCTTCACTCTGGGGTCAGGCAGATCTGGATTTGGATCCCAGCTTGGCCACTTCCCGGCAGTGGAACTTTGCAGGAGCCTCTGGTTCCTCATCTGTGGAAAGGGGGTGACAACACTGGCTACCCGAGAGGACTGCTGGGGCTGTGGGTGGGAGGGTGCATGTGAAGGACCCAGCTGGGTGCCTGGCACAAGACCACAGCTCGAAAAGGCAGCTGCCCACCATCAACTTCCTGGCTGTTTCCCCCCCGGGGGGTCGGGGAATGACCTTTAGGCCTGCAGACTAACGAAGCTTCCTTGAACTCCAGATCAACACCATCACCCACCCAAATCTGCCCCATCACCCTAGACTGGGGGTTCCTTGAAGGCGAGACCACAGCAGCCCACTTTCCTCCCTGGGTCTCAAGGCTGTGCAGAGCACAGCCAGTGAGAGTTACTGAATGAATGCCTACTCAGTGAACGGCGCTGATGAGGCCTCCACGGAGTCTCCGGGGGCCTCTCTCCTCCCAGCTGCTCAGACCAACCCTTGGTGTCATCCTGGCCCCGTCTTTCTCTCACACTGACGTCCCACCCATCAGGAAATGCTGTCGCCTCCACCCTCGAGACGCCCAGAATCTGAGCCCTCAAGCCTCCACTGCCTCCCCAGACCAGACAAGGCGGCAGCCTCCCCACTGGGCTCTGGGCTTCTGCCCTTGGGGTCCCCAGGCCTTTCCCCAACAGTAGCCAGAGGGGGCCTTTTGAACCCAATGTTTGATCCCGTCACCCCTCTGCCCAGGACCCTCCAAGGCTTCCCTTCTCTTGAGTTGAAGCCACATCCTCACGTCCTCTTGTCCACACTCCCTCTGGCCACGCCGGCCTCCTGCTGCGCCGGCAAACAGTGCCAGTGTGGTCCTCGGGCCTTTGTGCCTGCGGCCCCTTCCTGGAACCCTTTTCCACATGGCTCTCCCTCAGGCCTCTGCTCTGGGGCCCCACTGACCCCCACATCCCCCAAGCCCCTTACGTCGCTAAAGCACTCAGCATCACCCGCCATCTTATCCTCATCTTGTTCTCATCTGTGTCCTCCCACGAGAATATAAGCTCCATGCTGGCAGGGTTTTTGTCTGATCTGATGCTGCATTCCCCAGGCTCTGGCACAGAGCAGGTGCTTAATAAATATGTATGGGATGAATTAAAGAATGAGTAAATGACATTAATCCTTAAAACAGCACTTTTGGCTTTGACACCTGGTAATTCCCATTTTACAGAAAAGGAAACTGAGGCTCAGAGCAGTGAAGAAACTTGCTACGGTCACCTGTCAAAACCGCGGCCATCAGACTTCCCTGGTGGCGCAGTGGTTAAGAATCCTCCTGCCAACGCAGGGGACACGGGTTTGAGCCCTGCTCCGGGAAGATCCCACATGCCGCGGAGCAACTAAGCCCCTGTGCCACAACTACTGAGCCTGCACTCTACAGCCTGCGAGCCACAACTACTGAGCCCGTGTGCCACAACTACTGAAGCCTGCGCGCCTAGAGCCCGTGCTCCACAGCAAGAGAAGTCACCGCAGTGAGAAGCCCGCGCACCACAACGAAGACCCAACGCAGCCAAAAATAAATAAAATAAATAAATTAAAAAAAAAAAAAACAACCCACGGCCATTGACCTCAGCGGCCCTGGGCCGATGGCCACGTGGAGCCAGCCTTTCAGGAGGTGCAAAGCTTGGGAAATGATCCAGACGAAAGCCTGGCCTTGGATGAGCCCCTGGACTGCTGTGACACAGACTTGGAACAGAAAATGAGACTGCATGACCTACCCTGGACCAGAGGGATGCAAAGACTGTGGGAGCCATGGGGGAGGGCCCCCAACGCAGCTGTGGGTGTTCTCAGGGGAAAGAACACCCTGTGCTAAGGCTCTGAAGATGAGTCTGCATCACTCAGGAATAAGGGGAAAGGCATTTGGGCAGAGGGAACGGCATGAACAAGTATGGAGATCAGAAACTGCCCAGTTGGTGGGCATGTGTAAGAAACTGGAAGAGTTTGGTATTACTGAACCCCGAATAAAAGAGAGGCCTGGGGGAGTGGCCACAGCAGGAAACAAAGAGGCATTAAGAGGGAGATGGGGCTGTTTAGCAAAGGCCCCAAACACCACACTGAAAAACTCAGAGTTTATTTTATTCCAGCTCAACAAAAGTTTAACGAGCTGCACTAGAGGAAGGAATAAGGTTTACGGCTTAGCATCCGCTTACTTTGTAAGCACGCCTGTCTCAAACACAAAGTTGTGGGTTTCCTGCAGGAATATTAATGTCTTCACTAGGGCCTAAGCTTTGGACTGACGTGAGAGGTACCAGGCTAACAGGGCATGGCCCAGGCTCAGTGAGCTCACAGTCAAGCGTGTCATGGGCTGCTTGGAAGAGGGGGCAACCTGGTGGGTCTGGATGGGGTGAACAGAAACAACAGCCCGGCAAGATCTCCCTGGAGGGATAGCGCTGCCCGCTTCAGGGGCCCAATTACCCGTGGTAGAGTAGCAGGTGAGGGCCACATGCGGGCTCCAGTCCGTCCTCTCTTCCTAGCTGTGGGACCTTGGGCAAGGTCATTAACCACCCTGTGCCTCAGTTTCCCCATCAAGAAAATGGGGACAATAACCAAAAAAGGTTATGGGAGGATTAAATGAGGTGAATACAAAGCCGATGGCAGGTGTTATTGGGTTGGGTTTACAGGATGAACATGTTTGAGCCAAGAGACAAGAACCCTCCCAGAAGAGGGAACAAGCATGTACGTGGGCAGGCTGTGGGGAAAACCCTACTATATTCTAAAAGTACTTTAAACTTCATTTTTACTTATATAAATAATACCTGGATATATTTTCACTATTAAAAATCCATGTGATAGGGCTTCCCTGGTGGCGCAGTGGTTGAGAGTCCGCCTGCTGATGCAGGGGACACGGGTTCGTGCCCCGGTCCGGGAGGATCCCACATGCCGCGGAGCGGCTGGGCCCGTGAGCCATGGCCGCTGAGCCTGCGCGTCTGGAGCCTGTGCTCCGCAATGGAAGAGACCACAACAGTGAGAGCCCGCATACCACACACACACACACACACACACACACACACACACACACACACACAAATCCATGTGATAAAGTCAGAACTAAAGTCCCCATTGCCTACCACCCCCAGAAGTAAGAAAAAAATAGCATCCGGTGTGCATCCTTCAGAGTTTTTCTATGCAGTGACATGGGGCCTCCCATGGACAGGGCCGTGGGCGGAGTTCAGCACTGGGTTTGGAGTCTGGGCCTCACGCTCCCAGAGTTAGGTGAGTCAAGGAGGCTGGCGCCCGCACATCTGCCACCCGCTGCTGCCCCTTGAGGCTGTGACTCAGTGACCCACACCCCCTCGGCACGGAATCCATCACAGGTGGCTGACTCACGCCAGCACACGCTGGGCTGAAGAAAGCAAAGACGACGCTTTTAGAGCTGTGACTTAGGAACCTACGTCATTGTCTCTGACGGGTTTTAAAAACATACAGATGGAGCCAGGCCCCAAACCCTGGCCCATCCTGTCCTCCTCCAGGGGGGCTGGGTGATTGAGCAAGGACTCCGGGCTGCTGGGGGCTGCTGGTGCAGCTTGAAACATGTGAACTCTGACATCTGGCTGCTGGCTGACTTCCTGATGGATGGATAAGGGGGCCACAGGGCAAGTGTGAGCCTGATGCTGGGAGATATAGGGGCGGGGGCCAGCTGCTGACCTCACCTGTCATCACGGCTGGCTTTCTTTTTTTTATTTTTTAATTTTTTTTATTTTTTATTTTTTTTGCGGTACGCGGGCCTCTCACTGTTGTGGCCTCTCCCGTTGAGGAGCACAGTCTCCGGACGCGCAGGCTCAGCGGCCATGGCTCACGGGCACAGCCGCTCTGCGGCCTGTGGGATCTTCCCGGACCGGGGCACGAACCCGTTTCCCCTGCATCGGCAGGCAGACTCTCAACAACTGCGCCACCAGGGAAGCCCACGGCTGGCTTTCTTATCTGAGCACCCCTTGACTGAGAGCTCCAGGAAGGCACAAACTCTTAACCTTCCAAGGGTGGGGGGCAGAGGCTGGCCTGAGCTGTGCCCGAGATGCTGGCCAGAAGCAGCAACAAGCAGGGGTGCAGGAGACAGAGCAGGGGCCCTGGTGCCAGGCAGCCTGGGTTCAAATCCTAGCTCCCGGCCCTTTAGCAGGTCACTTAATCCCCTGTGCCTGTTTCCTTAGGACTGTTACAAGGACTAAATGAGTTAATACTGGTAAAGGGTCGGGTGAGAGCCCAATAGGCGGCCGCAGCCAAAAGGTGAGGGCTGGTGTGACCCTTTTCTAGAATCTCAGCTGTCCCCTGACCAGAGAAGACCCACTTCTTGGACGTTATCCATGCACATTTCATGAGCACACTTGCAGCCAAGTGACGGCAGGTGCCAGATGATGAGATCACAGACACCCCACTGACAGGAGATAAGGCCAGCCGGGGAAGGGCACCGAGACTTGTCCCATCCCTACTGCTATATGTGCTTTACAGATTTTAATCTGTTCACAACTTACAACCTGTGAGCACAGTATCATTATCCCATTTTACAGATGAGGAAACCGAGGCTGAGAGAGGCTAAACTGCCCAGTCATTCAACCAGTGAGCACTGTAGCCAGGATTCTCAACCATAGGTCTGTCTGACCCCAAACAGCAAGCTCCGGTTCAGCCAGAGCCAGCGGGGGGCCTCACTGGAGCCTGTCTAAGGGAAGCCACCCACAGCCTGAGGCATGTTTGCCAAGCTGAGGAGAGTGTGGCACTGGGCCATCTCCTGGGTGGTTGTCCTGTGTCTCCTGTGCCCACCCCATACTCGGTGCTGAGTAAACGTGGTCCCTCCTGTTCACCGTCTGAGGTGTTTATATCTGTTTAACCCAGGTGATCATACCCTCCTAGGGGAGGCCCCCCCAATAGGGAGGCATGCATGTGTCTGTTCATCTTCAACCATCCTTCAACCCCGAAGACAGGCCTTCCCTTATGACCCTATCTCAGTGGGTGTCCTCCTTAATTCCCCACCATAATACCCCCTTCATTCTCTTCCTGGCTGCCTCATCAAATTATATATTGGCTTGTTTGAGTGTTCACCTGTCACCCCGTAATAGACTGTAAGTGCCACTAAGGGCAGGGACATCAGTTGCTTCTCTGGGCACTGCACCCCAGTACCAAGTGTGGAGCCAGGCACACAGCAGACACTCAAGAGCAGGATGTATGAGTGAATGGGCCGGGGGCGGGGGGCGGGGGGCAATGGTCAAAGGAAGTCAGAATGTGATATGGACAAGATCAACATAAGGATAATGATGGGAGGGGCAGGGGCAGGGGCAGGGGAGGGAGGGCTCCCACTCAGGCACCCATGTCAGCGAGACCTGTGGGTGAGCAGCAGCTCTCCAGGCACATAGATGGGGGCAGAGAGAGGGCATCAGAGGCAGAGTGAGAGCCTGGCCCACCAACAATTCGCCCACCTCCCTGCACTGTGCCCACACTGGCCTTCCCTCGTCTCCAAGGCGTGCCCTCCACTGCAGCCGGCATCCCAAGGGCTTGGCTGTGCAGTGGCCCCTTTCTCTCCCACGTGGGCTTTCCCTGCAGCACATGGGTCAGTGGTCCACCCCATCCTTGCAGCACCAGCCCTCCTCTTTGATTCATGTTCTCTTCCAGATTCTGGGGCCCACTCAGCCCTGGTTTCCTCCTACCTATCTGGCTGCTCCTTCTACCTTTCCTCCCCACTTCTAAACACCGGCATGCACCAGAAATCGGTCCTCAGACTGCATCCTTATCAAGACCTTAGGTTCTTACATTTTTGGTGCCGTGGACCCGTTGCCAGTCTGCCGACACCTACGTTGTAAATGCCTTAAAAGTTTCGAATGCATAAAACACATAGGATCACAGAGGAAAGAAACGATGTTTTAAACAGTAATTAAAATAGATCAAACATTTGCACATGCCTCTTTATTAATGCAGCAAATAATAAGACCAGGTCGCGGATCAACAAATTACTGTAATTTCAAAACAGCAATGAATGTAAACAGCATCTCAGAATGATCTGTGACAATTTTAATGCGATATACATATCGGCAATTTCTATTGGTGACAAGGTCAAGGGTGCTGCTAATGCTACTATGGTCCATTGCCTACATTCATCATAGAAGAGAACGCTAAATTGGACTTAGAGCTTCGTAAAAATACACATGTCATTTTTTTCCCCATCCAGGTTCACAGACTCTTTGAATTTGATCTGCATTCCCTGGGGCATCTGTGGACCCCAGGTTTAGAACGTTCTACACCTCTCCCTAGGTAATCTAGCTTAGACCAACGATCCTCAAACATGAGTGGCATCAGGATCCCCTGCGGGGCTTGTTATAACACAGATTCAGTAGATCCAAAGTGGGGCCTGAGCATCTGCATTCTTCTTTTTTTGCGGTACACGGGCCTCTCACTGTTGCGGCCTCTCCCGTCGCGGAGCACAGGCTCGGACGCGCAGGGGGCCTGAGCATCTGCATTCTTCTTTTTTTGCGGTACACGGGCCTCTCACTGTTGCGGCCTCTCCCGTCGCGGAGCACAGGCTCCGGACGCGCAGGCTCAGCGGTCATGGCTCACGGGCCCAGCCGCTCCGCGGCACGTGGGATCTTCCCGGACCGGGGCACGAACCCGCGTCCCCTGCATCGGCAGGCGGACTCTCAACCACTGCGCCACCAGGGAAGCCCGGAATCTGCATTCTTAACAGGTTCCAGGTGATGCTGATACTGCTGGTTTGGGGGCCTCACTTTGTTTGTTTGTTTTTACTGAAGTAGAATGGATTTACAATGTTGTGTTCGTCTCTGCTGTACAGCAAAGTGACTCAGTTATACACATATATACATTCTTTTAAAAATATTCTTTCCCATTATGGTTTATCACAGATATTGAATACAGTTAGTTCCCCGTGCTATACAGTAGGACCTTGTTGTTTATCCATTCTATATATCATAGTTTGCGTCTGCTAACCCCAAACTCCCAATCCATCCCTTCCCCACTCTCCCTCCCCCTTGATTACCACAAGTTTGCTCTCTATGCCTGTGAGCCTGTTTCTGTTTTGTAGATAAGTTTGTGCCATATTTTAGATTCCACATATAAGTGACACCGTATGGTATTGGTCTTTCTCTGTCTGCCTTACTTCACTTAGCATAACAATCATCTAGGTCCATCCATGTTGCTGCAATCTGAGGGCCCCACTTCGAATAGCACTGATGTAGACCTATGAAGGCCCACGTCATCTGTTTGCCCATGACTCCTACATTTACATCTCCAGCCCAGAGCTCTCTCCTGCCCTCCACAAGCACCCCCTCAACCTCCAATTTCACATCTCTAATGGGAACCCTGAATGAAACGTGTCCAAAACTGAAGGACCGAGTCCCAGCCCCGCCTCGCACAGAATCCATGCTTTCCCAAGCTTCCATACTTAGAAAATGGGACTGCCTGGCTGTCAAGACAAAAACCGAAGAGGTTTCTCTGATTCCACTCTTGCCCTCACCACCCACAACCCAGTGATCAGTAAGTCCTGTTGACTCCACTCCCTCATCTGGACCCCTCTCTCCAATGCCACTGCCACAAGCACTGTCTGTGACCTCTGCTCTTGGTCCTGTCCAGTCTCTCCCCAAACAGACGACAGAGTGATCTTTCTAAAGGTTTGCTGTCCAGGAGAACTCTCCCTGATGATGGAAATGTTTCTTATCTGTGCTAACACGGTAGCCACTAGCCACACGTGGCTATGGAGCGCCTGCAGTGTGGCTAGTGAGACTGGGGGCCTGAATTTTACTTAATTTTAATCAACTTAAACGGAGCTGGTGGCTACTGTATTGGATAGTGCAGTTATAAAGCATAAATCCGACTGCACTGCATCCCTGCTTAAAACCTTCAAATGGCTCCCATCACAAGCACCATAAATCCTAATCACGGGGCACAGCAAAGACCCCGTGTGGTAGCTAATCAGCAAAGAGAGTCCCCATGAACCACACCTCCCAGCACCCGCACCCTTGGGTGGTCCCCTGCTCCCCCATGGAACCCGGGCCAGCACCTAATTCCTGTCAAGCCATAAAGTTTGGCAGAAGTGATAGTCTCTGCTTTAGCACTTAAGGAGCCCTGAGCTGTCATGGAAGAAAACCACATGGGGAGACCACGTGGACACAGAGAGACAGGTCCAGGGGTCCCAAGCAACTGGGCCAGGCCCCAGCAGGGACTTCAGGAAGGACGGCTCACTGTCTAAAGGGGTCATTAGCTCCAGATCCTTGTTTCCAGTGAAACTCGGGCCCAGTGCGGCTAGAGCCTCTGACTTTTAAAAGCCAGAAATCTGGACTCCCGGTCTTTTGATATTGGCTCTGACGGATCTGAATACTGTATGGGGCAAATGTAACTGGTTTTGGGGTTGTGTGTGGCCAGTGAGTTTGCAACCTCTGACTGAGATGGCAGGGATTAGAGGAAGCGCATCTGAGCAGAGGCTACGGGAGGGCAGGCAGAAGCCAGTGGCTCAGCCTGGCTGGGATGGGGAAGGGGAGTTGTGGGACATGGGGATAGCTGTGCAACCTTGGCTGAGATACTTAACCTCTCTGGGTCTCAGGTTCCTCATCTGTAAAATGGTACCACCTCACAGGGTTGTTGAGAGGCCCCACTGTGATAACACATAAAAAGAGCCGAGAAGGGACTTCCCCGTTGGTCCAGTGGTTAAGACTCGGTGCTTCCAACGCAGGGGGCCTGGGTTCGACCCCTGGTTAGGGAACTGGATCTGGCATGCCACAACTAAGAGCCTGCATGCAGCAACTAAAGATCCCACATGCCACAGCAAAGACCCTGTGTGTGGCAATGAAGATGCCGTGCGCTGCAATTAAGACCCGGCACACAAAAATAAATAAATAAATCTTATAGAAAAAAGAGCCGAGAAGAGTGCTGGCTGCTGCCGGGATTCCCCAGCTCTCCCAGATGCACCGCGCTCACACCTTTAACTTAGGATCTGAAGTTCCTGGTTTTAGTGACAAAACAACAGCAACACCTGAATGGTCCTTTGGAGCTGACCAGGTACTTTCAAACCCATCCACTCTCACTCCTCCCCTGCTTCACTCCTCATCACAGCACTTACCACCCACTGAAATGCTTTTCACCTTGCACACTGTCTGCCTCGCTCCACTAGAACAGAAGCCCCGTCAGTGCAAGAACGCCGCCCACCTAGTCCAGGTATTGCCCAGAGCCAGGAACCCACCCTGGAACACAGCAGGTGCTCCATAAAAGTGTTCTGAACGAATGAATGTGTAATAGCTCATTTAATCATCACATACACTTTGTAAAGTAGAAGGTATCATATTATTATATCATCACATCCTCGGCCTAAAGGTGTGAAAACTGAGGTTAAGACAGGTCTAGTGACCTGGGGGGCACTGCCTGGCCAAGAGGGGGTAGGGCTAGGACGCACACTCGGACTCAGGGCTGCCAATTCTACCGTCTTCTCACCACCCACTCCTTGTGTGTTGGGGAGAGAAGTAGGTCCTTCCTGAGCCAGCCAGCTGGGGCTCCAAACCTCAGGGAGCCTGAAACCCACCCCCCCGGATTCTCAGCAGGGACTGCCAGGTGCCTGGATGGCGGCCCTCT